TATATACAACACTATACATTGAACAGCATCCGTACAGAGGGGCACATTGATCCACGCCCATACCAACGCTGCATGTACTGGACATATAAGTTAAGTAGAAAGCTCACCTTGGTAGGAGGAATGGTGGCAAAGCGGATAACATCCACGGTCAGAGTTCGCTGCAGATCGTCATGTCCTTCATACGCCGACGCTCCCGTAGGGGGTAGTGGTGGGAAGAAGCTCAGTGTCACCTCTGGTTTCTGCTGCACCAGGCTGTGGCAAAGAGTGGTGTGTAGGTAATTACGGATGTTCAGGAGTTGTATTTATCATCTAGCGGATAAGGAAGATTGGCATATTCAATTGTAGCCCTGTTTGTAGTCTGTTAAATTGGTTGGTATAATAGACTATAGCGTGGCTAATCTGTGTTTGTAGATTACCGTGCTGTAAACTGGTTGTTGCGGATTGAGTTCTTGCGTAAATCTTAAGTTGTTGTTGATTCAGATAGGTCGCCGGCAGTGTGTGGCGGTGTGGGCAGTGGCAAGTGTCGGTTACTACACTACACCACAGCACACCAGTCCAAAAACAAAAACAACCCCTAGTGAAGGGCGAATGAGTGCAGCAACATACACAACAAAGTCAGCCGTGAACCATACGGAACGATTGCAGCCATATGACACTGCACACCAATGGACACGGGCAAGGGCCCACATTCTACACTGGAACCCAATCAACCGTATAAGGTACAGACAAGCTGTAGATAGAGCACATGTGAACATTAGAAAAAAATTATCACATACAGTATGGTATATGGTGCACTTGCACAGCACATCATCGCAGAGGATACCCACGTAGCTCCATACATACACGCACTACAATCAACCAGTGCTTAACACAAACGACTGTAGGAGTCAACAATATCCCACAACTCACAACATAGGACATACACATCGGAACACTTACCACCGAGCCTTCGGATTGCCCATGAGGTCCAGTTTGCGCATGAGTTCAGGCAGGTAGTAGGCAGGATGGTTGGCATTGCTCAGCAACTGAGGCCGACTGAAAGATGTAACAGAGTGTAATACTTTAATGCAGGTATAGGGCAAGGTCGCACAAGGCTTAGTGTGAAGAGACGTGTGATTACAGAGCCGATATACCGCCAGAAGACGGTGATGCTTTGGTGAAGGTAGAGGGTCTACCTGCAAAGAACGACAGTATAT